CCCAAGGCTGAGCCAGGAAGAAACTGGTTCCCTGAACACACCAATAATGAGCTCTGAAATTGAATCAGGAATAAATAGCCTACCACGAAAAAAAAAAAAAGAAAGAAAGAAAACCAGCACCTAAGGAATTCACAGCTGAATTCTACCAGATGTACAAAGAAGAGCTGGTGCCATTCCTACCGAAACTATTCCCAAAAATTGAGGAGAAGGGAGTTCTCCCCAGCTCATTCTATGAGGCCAGTATCATCTTGATACCAAATCCTGGCAGAGACACAACGACAACAACAAAAAATTAAAAACTTCAGGCCAATATCCTTGATGAACGTCGATGCAAAAATCCCCAACAAAATACTGGCAAACCAAACCTAGCAGCACATGAAAAAGCTAATCCACCACGATCAAGTAGGCTCCATCCCCAGATGCAAGTTTTGTCCAACATGTGTAAATCAATAAATGTGATTCATCATATAAACAGATCTAAAACCAAAAAACACATGACTATCTCAATAGATGCAGAAAAGGCTTTTTATAAAAGTCAACGTCTCTTCATGTTAAAAACCCCCAATAAACTAGGTATTGAAGGAACATACCTTAAAATAATAAAAATCCATCTGTGACAAACCCACGGGCAGCAGCATACTGAATGGGCAAAAACTGGAAGCATTCCCCTTGTAAACTGGCACAAGACAAGGTTGCCCTCTCTCACCACTCCTACTCCACGTAGTATTGGAAGTTCTGGTCAGGGCGACCGGGCAAGAGAAATAAATGAAGTGCATCCAAATAGGAAGGGGGGAAGCCAAACTACCTCTGTTTGCAGGCGACATGATTCTATATCTAGAGAACCCCATAGTCTCGGCCCAGCTGATAAACAACTTGATAAACTCCTTCAGCTGATAAACAACTTGGGTGAAGTCGTAGGATACAAAGTCAATGTACAAAAATCACTAGCATCCCTAGAAACCACCAACAACCACACTGAGATCAACATCACAAAGGCAATCCCATTCCCAATTGCCACACACAAAAATAAATTACCTAGGCATACAGCTAGCCAGGGAGGTGAAAGATCTCTACAATGAGAATTACAAAACACTGCTTAAAGAAATCAGGACAGACACAAACATATGGAAAAACATCCCATGCTCATGGACAGGAAGAATCAATAGCATTAAAATGGCTGTACAGCCCACGGCAATTTATAGACTCAATACTATTCCCATCAAACCACCGAGAACATTCTTCACAGAACTAGAAACAAATATTGAAAAATGTGTATGGAACGCGAAAAGGAGCCTGGATAGCCAAGGGAATCCTAAGCAAAAGGAGCTACACTACAAGGCTACAGTGACTAAAACGGCATGGTACTGGTACTGGTACAAAACCAGGCGCATAGACCAACAGCACAGTAAACGGACAACCTGCAGAGTGGGAGAAAGACTTGGCAAACTATTCATCTGACAGAGGTCTAATACCCAGCCTCTGTAAAAAGCCTAAACAAATTTACAAGAGAAAAACAAACAATGCCATTAAAAAGGGGGCAAATGACATGAACAGAGACTTCTCGAAAGAAGACATACATGTAGCCAAGGAGTATATGAAAAAAAGGGCAGTATCACTGATCATTAGAGAAATGCAAATCAAAACCACAATGAGATACCATCTGACAACAGTCAGAGTGGCTATTATCAAAAACTCAAAAAATAATAATAATAACAGATGCTGTTGAGGTTACTGAAAAAAGGAAACCCTTATACACTGTTGGTGGGAGTGTAAATTAGTTCAGCCATTGTGGAAAGCAGTATGGCAATTCCTCAAAGGGCTAAAAGCAGAACTACCATTTGACCCAGCAATCCCATTACTGGGCATATAGCCAGAAGAATATAAAGCATTCTACCATAAAGACACATGCACCTGACTATTCACAGTAGCACTGTTCACAAAAGCAAAAACATGGAATCCACCAAAATGCCTATCAATGACAGACTGGATAAGGCAAGTGTGGCACATATACACCGTGGAATATTATGCAGCCATGAAAAAGAACAAGGCTATGTCTTTTGTGGGAACGTGCATGGAGCTAGAGGCTACCAGCTCAGCAAACTGACGCAGGAAAAGAAAAGCAAATCCCACACGTTCTCACTCATAATTGGGAGCTAAATGGTAAGAATTGTGAACACAAAGAGGGAAACAACAGGCCCTGGGTTGTACTTAAGTGGGGGGTGTGGTGGGACGAGGGAGAGGAGCAGAAAAGAGATAACTATTGGGTACTGAGCTCAATACCTGGGTGATGTAATAATATGTGCAACAAACCCCGGTGACACGCGTTTACTTATGTAACAAACCCTAATGTGTAGTCTCAAACATAAAATAAAAAGTTTTTAAAAATGTTACAGTGCAAGTCTCTTGATGATAAATTCTTTCGACTTCTGTATGTCTAAACACCTACTACAGCTAGTGCTCGACTTACGACCACGATTGGGACCGGCAGACCGGTCGTAACACGATTTGGTCGTAAGTTGAGTAGGCTACATGTACAGTTGAAATGGTGCACGCAGAGATGGCAGTGCTGCCAGAAGCTGGTCCGCACTGTCGTACGCCCAGCTGGGCAACGTTTGCGCTGCCAGACGCGGAGCAGTCGTGGCTAGCGATTGTGGTCATAATAATCACTTAGGAGAAAGGATAAATCTCTGGGAGAGCAGATGGGTCAAATGTCATGGATGCGCACGACGCCTTCTCTGTGCGTAGCACCTTGGATATACCTTAGATGATGCGTGGCAACGCGGATGCATCGTGAAAGCACAGGGCTCAGTGAAAAGAAAATTAAGAAATCTGCTGGATACTTGTATTTCCAGCCATGACGGATTAACGAGAACCAGATTTCCCATCTCATCTAAATGTGTATAGACCAACAGATTATAAGGCTTAACATCAGTGATCCCTGAGAGAAAGGGAACCTGACCACAGTGACCCCTGAGAGAAAGGGAACCTGACCACAGTGATCCCTGGGAGAAAGGGAACCCGACCAGGTGAGCCCTCTGGTCGCCCAATCCCACCAACTTCCCGTCCGGATAGAGTTTGCAGGCTGCAGCACAGGGGAGCTGAACACAGCAGAGCCGGGTGGACAGTCTGAGTGAAGGAGACAGAGTTGAGAGCTCGAGAGGTCCATCCCACCAGAATTTGCACGGAGAGGCAGCTCTGGAGACCCTTCAGAGGTTGCCCGTCTGGATGCAGTGTATGAGAAAGGGGGAGCGGCGATCGATGACTCCCAGTTTCTGGAGTGAGTGGTTGTGTGGAAAATGGTGCCATTTACTGAGATTGGGAAGATGGGTGGGGCGGGGGGAACCGGAACGATGGGGCTGTGTGAGTGTGTGGGAGGCGTGAGTATACCAAGTGACCAGTTTGGGACAGGCTAACCATGAAGAGCCCTTGAGACATCCAAGTGGACATGCCGCGTAAGTGCGTGAATGTATGAACTCGGACCTCAAAAGTGAAGTTCAGACTGGGGCTGTAGATTTTTGGAGTGACTAGCACGTAACACTTTCTGAAGGCTTTCGTCTGCAGGGTGCGTTCCTCTCCCACAGAGGACATGTTACAGGGGAAGGGGTAAAGAGACACAGGCCGCTGACAGGAGAGACTGATATACAACAGCTGGAGGAAGCCACAGAGCCGGGCAGAATGGATACCGGTCAGCGGAGAGTACGAGCTGCCTGCCGTCCTAGCAGTAGCTTCCATTTGCACACAGGGGTCCCGGTGAGGCAGATGTAAAAACAAGTATAAAACTCTACTACGAATTTTACCAACAATCCAGGTTCGACTGGAGATGAGACCACAGCATTTTCTGCCTCAAAAGACATCCAACTGGAGATGGCACTTAGGCGGGCGAAAGTGCTATGCACTTGGACCTCAAAAGTGAAGTCTGAGCTGGGCTCGTCGATTGCGGATTCATTAGCTCAGGCACACAGGTGCCTGATTGTCCTAGCGGACACCAGGGGAGTCTCAGCGGCAGCGTGATTGATTGTGTCACTGAGATGGAAGAGGCCTGGCAATCTGAGCAGAGAGTGGACCAGGCGGAGCAATTCTCATACCTAGATGGAACCACATAGAGCCACAGAGGCCGGGTGGGCGGCCTCTGCCTGCCTGTGTCCTGAAGGCAGAGCATGAGCTTAGGCCTCCTACAGCACAGACCTTGCTTCTTTGGGACAGACGTTGGGGTGGGGAAGGTCTGTCACTCGCACGGAGGAGGCAGTGCCTCAGTCCCCAGGCCAGCAGGAGCAGGAGGTGGGCTTTGGAGTCTGGAAGACCCAGGCCCAAATTCTGCATTTTCTGTTTCCTGGCTCTGTGGTCTAGTTCCTGCAATGTGTCTGTGCCTCGGCTTCCCGATCTGTCAAGTGGGGATGCCGACATCCACCTCCCAGGGCTGCTCGTGAGAGGAAGACAAGCCCCAGCACAGATCCCTCTGTGACATACAAGCTGCATAAAGGGTAGCTGAGGAAGCAGATATTCCCAGTGCGTCTGCGGCCAGAGTTGGCTAGTGGGGAAGCACACAAAGGGAAGTGCCATCCTCTGGCCGAGTCCACTTCGTCGCCCGGCAGGTTGAGGATTGCCACTTGTTGCAGTTAGAGACCCAGCTCATTAATTGTGAGACCTCGCTAATTGTGACCTAAGGGGCCGTGCGGAGGAGATGGGGCATAGTGGATCCCAGACCAGGCTGGAGGAGTTCGGGTGAAAGGGCAGGGCAGGACGGAGAAGCCTTGTGCAAAAGTGGGGGGACTGAGAAGAGATGATTGGGTGGGTCGAGCTGCACTGCAGGGTATGAGTGTGCGCGCCCGCGGTAGGAGGAGGAGGAGGAGGAGGGATGAAGTAGATCTGGCGGGAAGAGCCCCCCCACTACGACTTCGACCCCGCCGCCCACCCACCCGCGGAACCGCATGCGCACTGGGGACCTGGAGGAAAGGGCTTTTGTTGGGAAAGCGGGCGGGCTGGAGGGGTCCGCGCATGCGCAGGCTACCCAGCCGCGGGGGGTGCACGGAGAAAAGGGGCGGGGTGGTCCGGGCTGCTGTGCTGGCAGCAGCAGGCGAGGGCGCGGCTGCGGGGTTCCTGGTGCTGAGGACCGACGCCATTGGAGCCCCGGGGAAGGTAAGGATCCAGCCCCAGGCAGGACCGGGAGAGGGCGAGTGGAGCCCGGCACGCTGCGCCCTCCCTCCGCCTCCGGATCTGAACAAAGCCCAAGCACTCAGAACCGGAACCCCATTAGAGCCAAGGTCTAGACAGGAGCCCCCATCACCACCAGACCCAGGCGCCCCGATCTGAGCCCTACTGAAACCAGAGCCCAGGATCCTCACCCCCTTAGCAGACCCGTGTGCTCCGAGCTGAGCTCCCTTGGACCGGAGGCCCCACCCCCACCCCAACCACTCCTGGATTACTCGAACCGAGCTGACCGCTTGCCCCCTTCCTGGAGTGCCAGTCCTCCCGTTTGAGATCTCCAGCGCTCCGACTGGAGTCTCACCTAGGTCCGAGGCCCCACTCCTCCATCCGCCTCTAGTGCTCGAGCCTGAGCCCCACCTAGGCCCCCCGCCCGGACCTAGCCAAAAGGTCCCTGGGATTCTGTTTCGCAGAGCTTGCCGCTTGCCGCTGTCCCCGGCAATGCCTGAGCGCTCCCATCTGCTCCCCCTTCATCCCGGTCCCCTTCTCTGGCCCTTCCATCCAAACCCTTTGTTTCTCTCTCCCCCAGTGCATCCCCTTTGGGACTCTTGGGACCCCAGCCCTCCAGAACGCCCCCCATTCAAATCTAGACACTGGAATGGGGAGCCTGCGCATCCTAAACTCCGCTTTCGGTGCGGCGTCGCCCGCGACCTCCTCTGTCCCTTTCCTTGGGCTCTGTCCCTGACCAAGTCTACCCCATCAGAAAGCCAAATCCTCTTCCCTCTTCTCCCCCGATACCCCCCCTCCCGCCACCCCCCCCTCCACGCCTTTTACTGCCTAATATTGCCTAGTAACCTGATGATTGTCGCCCCTCACCTCCCGGGAGATGCCGCCTCCCATTGGATCCCGCCCCCTCCCCCTGCAGCTGCTTCACCCTCCCTCTCAGGCAGAGCTCTCTTCTCCCTGGGACCCGAAGCATGGCTGAGGGAAGCTTCGGCGTGCAATCGGAAAACTACAGTGTTGAGGACATGGACGAGGGTAGCGACGAAGTCGGGGAGGAAGAGATGGTTGAAGGCAACGACTATGAAGAATTCGGTGCCTTTGGCGGCTATGGCACCCTCACCAGCTTTGACATCCACATCCTCAGAGCCTTCGGAAGCTTGGGTCCAGGCCTTCGCATCTTGTCGGTGAGACTCCTTCCAGGCCACCTGCTCGCCTGGGCCTTTCCACTGTGAATGGAGGAGGGAGTAGGGGGGCAGCAAGGAGGGTTGTGTGCGAAAGGGCTGCCCAGCTTCCCCAAGGCTTCCCTCCCCTGCTGGGAAGAAGAGGATTTGGGAAGGCCTTGGGGTGTCCGGGGCTGGCTGCTGGGAAGAGGCTGGCCAGCACAGCGAAGCTAACACAAGTGTGTCGTCGAGTGGCCTGCCTTCCCCTACCCCTCTCTCTGGCCTTGCAGAATGAGCCCTGGGAATTGGAAAACCCTGTGCTGGCCCAGACCCTGGTGGAGGCATTGCAGCTGGATCCGGAAACACTTGCCAATGAGACGGCCGCCCGTGCTGCCAACGTTGCCCGTGCCGCCGCCTCCAACCGTGCGGCTCGGGCCGCTGCCGCCGCTGCCCGTAGCGCCTTCAATCAGGTGATGGCTAGCCACCGGGTGGCCACGCCGCAGGTCTCAGGAGAGGATACCCAGCCCTCGACCTATTCCGCTGCCACCGCCGCCGCCGCCGCCGCCGCCCCCGCCGCCGCCGAGGCTCAGGGGCCCACCCCGGAGCCCCCCCTTGCTTCTCCGCAGACCTCCCAGATGTTAGTCACCAGTGAGATGGCTGCCCCCGGGGCCCCGGCAACCTCTGCACAGTCCCAGACAGGCTCCCCGGCCCAGGAGGCTGCTACCGAGGGCCCTAGTAGCGCCTGTGCTTTCTCTCGGGCTCCGAGTGCCAGTGAGGTGGATGCCACCCGGCCCAGCACAGCCTTCCTGGGTCCGAACGATGTCTTTGATTTCACCCAGCCAGCAGGTGTCAGTGGCATGGCCTTCCCACGCCCCAAGAGACCTGCCCCAGCCCAAGAGGCTGCCACAGAGGGCCCCAGTGCTGCCTCTGGGGTGTCCCAGATGGGACCTGGCAGGGAGGTGGCAGCCACCCGGCCCAAGACCACCAAGTCTGGGAAGGCCCTGGCCAAGACTCGGTGGGTGGAGCCTCAGAACGTTGTGGCAGCAGCTGCTGCCAAGGCCAAGATGGCCACAAGCATCCCTGAGCCGGAGGGTGCAGCTGCTGCCACTGCTCAGCACAGTGCTGAGCCCTGGGCCAGGATGGGAGGCAAGAGGACCAAGAAGGTGAGATTTCCCCCCCCGCCCCACCTCCACACCCCCGGCTCCTGTCCTTTCCGTCTCCTCCCTCTCCCTCTTCTTCCTCTCCTGTCCTCTTTTCCCTCTCTCTCCCCTCCCCTGCGCTCTCCCTCCCCTCCCCTCCACTCCCCTCCCCTCCCTTCCCCTCCCCTCCCCTCCCCTCCCCTCTCCTCCCCTCCCCTCTCCTCTCAGCTAGTCCGTGTTTCTCCAACACAAGTTTGCTGAGCATGTTTTCACTCCACATAGTCCCTACCCTCAGGACTGGTGGGAGAAGAGGCTGGCTGAGTGCCTGGCACTTAGTAAGCACGCAGCACATGCCAGCCGCTGCTGGTACTGCTCTCGTTTCCAAGAGCCTGCTACGGGAGAGGTGCGTGCCGGGCGCTTTGGCACGGGGAGCCTGGTAGCCCTGGGTCTCTCCTCTCTCGAATGATACAGTCCAAGCACCTGGATGATGAGTATGAGAGCAGTGAGGAGGAGAGAGAGCCTCCTGCGGTCCCGCCCACCTGGAGAGCATCACCGCCCTCATTGACCGTGCGGGCTCAGTTGGCCCCTCGGCCCCCGGTGGCCCCGAGGTCCCAGATACCCTCAAGGCACGTACTGTGCCTGCCCCCCCCGCAACGTGACCCTTCTGCAAGAGAGGGTAAGAAGCCCACCCTCCCCCATCTCCCTCCTCTCCTCCCTTGCGGGCCGATTCTCTGCTGTCACCCAGGCCTTGACCTCCCCGAGTGTTCCTCCTTCTCCAGGCAAATAAGTTGGTGAAATACCTGATGATTAAGGACTACAAGAAGATCCCCATCAAGCGCTCAGGTAGGCAGCCTGTGCCCCCTTCGCCATCCCCTAGTCTGTGGGCACCCCTTTGCTGGCGGGCTGCGGCGGGTCCCTCTGTCGCCACAGGACAACCGGGTCCTGGCCGTGCCACCCTCTGCAGGGCTGACCAGGGGGCTACAGCTCTGTGATCCCTGCTCAGCCCAGGTGCTTTCTCCAACTCTTCCCCTTCCCGCAGACATGCTGAAGGATGTCATCAGAGAGTATGACGAACATTTCCCTGAGATCATCGAACGAGCAACGTACACCCTGGAAAAGGTGGGTGCAGGATGGGAGCAGCTCTGTGGAGGAAGAGTGGGCGTGGGGTGGCGTGACCCTGCAGACCCTCAAGGCCCAGTCTCTGGAACCGACCGTGACCTCCCCTACTCTGAGCTTCCACGGCACTGGCAGTTTGACCCGTGCCTCCTGCCCTTGGCTTCTCTGTCCCACGCTCTCTGAGTGTCTCACCCGTCACGCGACATGGGTCTCATCGCCTCTGCCAGTGTCAGCTCCCACAGGGAGGGTCCTCCGAGTGCTGTCTTCTTCCGCCCTCGCTCACGACTTTGGATTGCCTGCTGAGGAGCACTTCCACCCGGGAATCGACTCCCTGCCGGCAGGCAGGATGCACCACATGGAGTCTGGATCTCACACTCTACTTTCTCTCCCATGTAGAAGTTTGGGATCCACCTGAAGGAGATCGACAAGGAAGAACACCTGTATATTCTTGTCTGCACACGGGACTCCTCAGCTCGCCTCCTTGGAAAGTAAGAAAGGGAAAGCGGGTGGTAGCCTTCCTCGGTGGTGCCCCTCCCCTGCCCGAACCTCCCCCCACCCAACCGCCCCCCAGCGAAGCAGGAAGACAGAGCTTGAGTCCTTGAGTGCAGCACATAGCTCCCTCCCACACACAGCGAGGGCTGCCTGGTGACTGCTGGGTGAAAGGAAAGGTAGCCTGGGGTGAGGCCTTGCTGCCTCACATCTCCCCAAGCCGCTGTCTGTTGGGCGTTGCCCCCAAAGCTTCCGAGGAAAGTGGCTCGCCTCTTCCTCCTGCCTGCCTGGCCTGGGCCCCGCAGAGCTGGCCTAGGGGAGAGCTTCCTCCTCAGTGTAGGTCCTGATGCGGAAGGGGCAGGAAAGGTCTGGAGACATCTCTGGACACACGTTGACCATTTGCAGAGCTTCGGCTCCCTGCCTCGCCCTGTCCCCCCTGCAGGACCCTGTCAGAGAAGTGTTAGTACCTCCACTGGAGGAGGCGATTAAGTCTCGGGCAGAGGTGCGAATGGTTTGCCAAGCAGCTGGTGAACCCTGCCTGTCCTGGGAAGAGTTCCCCTCCAGCCGGGAAACCTGAGAGGGCCTAGCTGGGAGAGCCTGGCGCGGTCTCTCAGGCAAATAGCTGCTAAACAGGATTTCTCTTTCCTCACCTTTAGAACCAAGGACACTCCCAGGCTGAGTCTCCTCTTGGTGATTCTGGGCGTCATCTTCATGAATGGCAACCGTGCCAGTGAGGGTGAGTGGCTGGACCTGCAGCTGGGGGGCCACCCACAGTCTCATCTTTTGGGTGCCAAACTCTCGAACCTCCTCTCCCCTCGCAGCTGTCCTCTGGGAGGCACTACGCAAGATGGGACTGCGCCCTGGGTATGATTGGCCTCCCCAGCTCCTCCCCTGGGTGCTGTCCTCTGGCCAAAGAGGTCCCGGGATTGCAACAGGCTGTCGGTGTGGCCCAGGGGAGTGGGGTGCCCTGGGCTCGGTAGAGAGCAAAGGGTCTCACCGGGCGGGGCGGATGGGAAGCGGTGCCGGACGCTGCTCAGCCTCCTCCCTGCTCTGTGGCCCCAGATGACATCTAAGAGAGACAGTCAGAGTCAGGGGCTCCATCGTGTCCCTACCTGGGGCACACATCCCTGACAAACCGTCCTCTGGCCTCTGCTGCGTGCCCAGGACTCCACGGCGATGCCCCGTGGGCTGGGAAGCTCCTAGTCATGCTAGCGAGGCCCCCTGCCGGCGTGCGGGGTGAGGCGGGCACTGCCACCGTCTCTGCTCACGGATTCCTTTCCTTGCCCTCAGGGTGAGGCACCCATTCCTTGGCGATCTGAGGAAGCTCATCACAGATGACTTTGTGAAGCAGAAGTAAGTATCGCCTGAGCTAACTGCATCTCTCACTCGGGCATCCTTTTGTTCTGGCCTGGCTGAGAAAGCCATCGTTTCCTATCTCAAATCTTCAACTGGAGGGATGATGGGTGCCTCTGGCCTGGGAGTGAGTGACGGGAGGGCTATGTGAGCGTGTGGGGAGCCGAAGGCCAGGGCGGTGTTGGGAAGAGGGAGCGCACGTCACGGGAGGACACGGTGTGAGGTACGATAACGGCCACCATCTCCTTGAGCACCTGCCCTGTAGACTGACACAGCGGTTCCCCCCGGTTTACACCTAGGGAACCCGGGGCTCACGGAGGGGTCGCCTCTGAGCGTGGCTCACAGCTGGTCAAGGCCTCAGCCCAGAATCTCCTGATTTTCAGGCCAGGGCCCACCCTATCCCCGTCCCTGGAGGACTTGCCAACGCACAGGCGCACATGCACACCCACAAAGGGTCAGGAATTCAGGAGGATGTCTGGGCCACGCTTCTCCTGGCTGGCTCTTTCTCCCTTTCTGGTCGTTTCCTCTGGTGGGCCTCTCCAGGGATCCGCCAGGGTATGGCCAAGACCCACGAGGCGGGGTGTGCACAGAGCAGGGGGCCTGAAGAATGGCTCCTCTGATTACACACACCCAACAGAAATCAGGGCTCGTAGTGATGAGGGGCATAAAATTGTGGCCTCGCTACAGATAAAGGCCCTACATGTGTCCCCCCTGCACCTCCACGTGGCCTCTGGGGAGGACCAATGGCAAAAGGCTTTGAAGGCCTCACTGTTGCAGGAAGAAGTCCTGCGAGTGGGTTTGCGGATTAGAGAAGGACTGGAGGGGCGGGGCAGTCCTCTTCCAGGAGCAGAGCTGTGGCTTCAGGTTGAGGAGGGGCCCCCTGGGACCCATCCATTCAGCGCCAGGTCTGCTTGGCTGGAAGCCAAGTTTCCTTCCCTCTCACGCCAAGGTACCTGGAATACAAGAAGATCCCCAACAGCAACCCGCCTGAGTATGAATTCCTGTGGGGCCTGCGCGCCCGCCATGAGACCAGCAAGATGAGGGTCCTGAGATTCATCGCCCAGGTAAGGGAGGGCCTCTGTCCGGTGCCCGGCACTGGGGGTGGTGTTCCCCACATCTTGCTGGTTTCTGGGTTGAGGCCTCCTTCCCGTTATCCTGTATTCCACTGAGGGTCCCGACACTCACAGAGGACCTGAGCACCCTACACAAGGTCACACATGGGGCAGAATCCCAGGTCTGGCACAGGATAGTAGGGGCCCCCGATCCCTGTGGTCTTGGTTTTTGCTGGCATTAGGCAAAGCACAAGGAGGGGGTGAGGTGGGCCGAGGGCGCTCAGCCCGTGTGAGGTAGCTCCGTGTCTACACTTGCCCTTTTCCTCCTCAGAATCAGAACCGAGACCCCCGGGAGTGGAAGGCTCGTTTCTTGGAGGCTGTGGATGATGCTTTCAAGAAGATGGATGTGGATATGGCCGAGGAACATGCCAGGGCCCAGATGAGGGCCCAGATGAATATCGGGGATGAGGCTCTGATTGGACGGTGGAGCTGGGATGACATACAGGTCGAGCTCCTGACCTGGGACGAGGACGGAGATTTTGGCGACGCCTGGGCCAGGATCCCCTTTGCTTTCTGGGCCAGATACCATCAGTACATTCTGAACAGCAACCGTGCCAACAGGAGGGCCACGTGGAGAGCTGGTGTCAGCAGTGGCACCAACGGAGGGGCCAGCACCAGCGTCCTAGATGGCCCTAGCACCAGCTCCACCATCCGCACCAGAAATGCCGCCAGAGCTGGCGCCAGCTTTTTCTCCTGGATCCAGTAAGAGTTTCAGTAGAGAAACGGGACTCTGCAGGAGGGCCGCGGAGGGGGGTGAGATGTCAGAGGGAGGGCCGGGGTGGGGGGTGGGGTCAACGGCGACAGCGTGGACCGACACTTATTTTGTCACATACACCCCTCCCCGGTTCGCGAGTGTGTCCGTGGATGTTGTCACTTTGGTTTCTTGTGCTTTTATAGGCACCGCTGACGAACTGCAGCGATCTTACTGGCCAGGCCAGAGCGCCTCCTCTCAGATTCCCTCTGGACACAGCACGCTAGGCAGCTGCTTCCTGTCCATCGGAAGTGGCGTGCAAGATGCAGCTCTCCTGCTTTTCCTGCTTTCATTGTGTGCTTTTCCTTGTGCTTTCATGTTTTGGGTATCAGTGTTACATTAAAGTTGCAAAATTAATTTGGACGTCTCTTCCTTTACCCGCCCCCCATTACTGTACCTGGCCGTGCTTGGGCTCGTAGCAAGGCCACTTCCTCGGGCTCTCTGTGGTAGGTGGGCCCGACCTCTGCCAAAAAGGCCAACAGGGACAGGTGGGATGCTGGGAGGTGCGGGGCTTGGTTGCACCTGAGTGTGCGACCAGGAGTTTGGAGAGGCCCCAGCGCTCGTGGCTATGTGATTTTTCTACAAGCCTTGACCGGCAGCCCCAGGGGCAGGGCAAAAGGGAGGCCAGAGCAGGGGTGGAGTGGAAGACTGACAGCTTGGTGCGGGTGCCTCTGCCCCTCCCGCCGGGGACAGGGTCCAAGGCTCTCGCCAGGACCCACCTCCCACACCCCCTCCTCGGAGACGATGTTCCGGAACCCTGGGCTCATCACCCACACAGTGCAGGACCCCATCCTCGGTACAGAGTCTGAAGGACAATGAGGTGGGCCTCGCAGTGATGTTGGCAGCCCTCCAGTGGGTAGGAGGAGGGGCCGTGATTGCCGAGGGAGCAGGATGTCATGAAAACAACCCACGGCGCAGGCGGGCACAGTCCGTCACCTGTGACGGAAGGCGGCCTGTTTGGGGCTTCGCAGCCCTTCTCCCCCAGAAGCAGGGCTCTCCCGGTGAGGACGACACCAGGCCTACCTAGGTCCTGGAGTGTTCAAGGGTTGGGTGATGTCTGCGGGGCTCTGAGGTAGGGCTGCACACGCTTCAGGTGCCAGACGGTAAGGGCAGACAGTTTGGCCTCCTGGGAAGGGCTCAGTGGCAGGCAAGGACAGTGTCCAGGGCTTTCTGGAGTTCCCTGGTATTGTCCAGGGTTTGGGAGGACAGAGCCCTGGATGAGGAAGGAGGACACAGTAGTGGACGGCTCCCTGCCTCCCCCTAGCCCCACCCTGGCCTCTGTTTCGCCCGGAGGGGCTCCCATCTCTGCCAGGTCCAGATCCTGACCCAGACCGGCTGCCTCATTTGGGAGGCCAGGTGGAAAATGAAAACATGGGTCTCCTTGTCAAAAACTATGAAGGATTTCAAAACAGCAACAGCAGAGCATGGGGCCACATGGGGAGCCCCCGTGAGCATCACACTGCATAGGTTGCACCCCCCGGAAGCTGTCCTTCAGACAGGATTGGCTGGGTCTCCATGTTGGCTGCGCTGTGATTTCTGCTTCTCTGGTGCTTGAGTCCATGCTTGGTCACACTGACATTCTGGAACTCTGACAAAAATCCAGTCCCAAAGTTTTCCAGGCGCGCACACACACACACACACACGGAAATGGAGTCCCCATTCCCTTCATGTCTCCTGGTCTGTGTGGCCTGGGCTGTGGAAGAGACGAGGGATTTCTGGGACTCCAGCCCTGGTGTCACAAATTTGATGGTATTTGGCCGGAACCTCCCTGGATACCCCTGTGCACATAGCAGGTACATGCCTGTCCTTGGATCGGGGTGGGGGAAGTCTCCATTAGCCACAGGAGTGAGTTTGACCACAGTGTGCAGAGGGCACTTGAGATACGGAAGCTCAACCGGAAAGGAACAGGAAGCAGCTCTCAGAGGCAGGTCACTGCCTCCACAGGCCTCCAGGCTTGCTGGACGCTGCACCTTTCACGTCACCTTGCTGCAGTGGGGTCTCGCCAGGGGCCTCCTTCCCCTACCCTGTAGCGGCAGTGCTGAAAGCAGCTGGGAAAAGAGGAGGAGAGCAGGGTGGCAGGAGCGCCCTGGTGGAAAATGGGGGCAGACTGGAGTGGGACTCCTGCAGGAGGCTCAGACCGGCCACCCTGGAGACGACCACCACCTCACTCACACGGCAAACAGGAGACCCGGGCAGGTTTCCCCTCCACTCGCATCCTGGGGCGTTCTGCAGAACCCACACCACAAAGCCCCACGGTCCAAGCCAGCAAGTGTTTTCTGAGACCCTGCTGTGGCACTGGACAGCTCCCACAGCCTTCTCCCAGCTCGGCCTGCTCTCTCTGATCACCCCCGCCCCAGACCTGGCGGTGGATGAGCATTCGTGAATTCACTTGTTTTCAGTTACTGACATTATGCATAAAGTTGTTCTGATTATCCGTGTACAATTTCTTGGCTGGGCCTATGTTGCCATTTCTCGGGCAAGCCTGAGAGGCAGGGGCGGTAAGCCCATTTCATGGTCTCAGCCAACTGAGGCTCCGAGAGGGAAGACGCTGTCCCCAAGTTACACAGCCGGGAAGCAGCAGAGCACGGCCTTGAACCCGGGGCCCCCTGAGGCCAGGGTGCGTGCACTGGGCCCTGCTGGTGGCCACCCCTGCCATCCAGGGACTCCCAGTGTCCTGGGGGTGAGACAGCCACCTGCTGGACACTCTCTCCTGACACCCACCCTCCCGCCCACCTGCACATACCGCTCCCCATCTCCCTTCATTTTGCATGATTGCCACCCCTCATGGCTTCCCCGAATACCAGGTTCCACGCTAGGTTTCCGAGGCCCGCCCCCTCCCTCCCAGCCTCCCGAGACATCGGGTTGGGTGCTTTCCTTCCTGGGCATCCATCCTGCTGCTCCTCCTTGTTTTTGTCCTCGTCAGGCCCTGGGCCAAGGGCGTAGTGCCCACTGCCTCATGACACCCTCAAAGACAGTCTGAGCTACTACTGTACATCCTCCTTATACACTTGAGGAAACAGACTCAGAGAAGGGAAGTCACTTGCCGGAGATCTCTGACCCAGCTCTGCCGCTGCCTCCACTAGTGACCTTGGCCCAGTCTCTTCCCTTGACAGGTGGCATATGGTTTGGGGTGTGCATGTGAAGAACCCTTCACATGGTTTGCACATTGATTGTTATTTGGCGTCAATACGGAATTGTAAGAGTGCTTTTTTGTGTGCAGACTTTTCCTTTGTCAGGGAGCGTATTTTTCAAACACTGTCACAATCAGTGGTTTGCTTTTTCATTTTGCTAACGCTGAAAAGCCAGATTTCCAAATTTGATGAAATTCACTTAACCTGTTTTTGTGTGGCTATTGCGTTCTGTGCCATAGCTGTAAGAGTCCTTCGCCTACAGCAAGATTCTCAAGGCTTCATCCTCCATTCTCTTCCAGAGGTCTTATGCTTTAGCTTTTTTGTTGACATTTACGATCTTCACAATTTTCAGAAGTTTGAAATCAAACCAAGTATCTTTTCTGATCACAACTGAATGAAACTAGAAACCAATAACGGAAGGAGAATTGAAAAAGTCACACATAGGTGGAAATTACAAACTCTCTTCAATAAGCAATGGGTCAAAGAACAGACCACAAGGATATTAGAAAATATCTTGAGACACATGAAAATGAAAACACCATATACCACAAGTAAGGAGATGCAGGGAAAGCAGTGTTAACAGGCAAGTTTATTGTGGTAAATGCTTACAGTGGAAAAGAAGAAAGATCTCAAATCAACAACCTGTCTTTATGTTTCGAGAACTAGAAAAAGGAAGAACAACATAAACCCAAAGTTAGCAGAAGGAAGGAAGTAATAAAGATTAGAGCGCAAATAAAGGAAATGGAGAATCGACAAATGATAGAGGAAAAAAAACAATGAAACTAAGAGCTGGTGTCTCTGAAAAGGTCAACATAATGGAGGAACCCGTTAAGCAGTTTAACTAAGAAACAATCGAGAAGCGTCAAATAACTGAAATCAGAGTGACAGAGAGGCATTACAATTGATACTACAGAAATAAAAAGATTATAAAAACAAGACCAGGAACAACTATACACCAGCAAATTTGATATTTTAGAGAAATGGATAAATTCCGAGAAACATACATGCTGCCAAGACTGACTCTTAAAGAAATAAAAAATCTCAGCAGATCTCGATAACTCGTAAGGAGACTTAATCAGTCCTCATCAACCTCCCAACAGAGAAAACCCCAAGACCAGATGGCTTCAGTGGAGGATTCTACCAAACATTTAAAGAAGGATTAGGACCAGAAACACACACACACACACACACACACACACACACACACACACACATCCCAAAAGAATGTTTATGCATACATATTCAACAAAAGTCTAGCACACCCAGTTCAACAACACGTGAAAAGCCCACGACCACCTGAGCTTTATTTGTGGAATGCAAGGAAGTTTCGACCAATGAAAATCAATTAATTTAATGTACAGCACCAACAAAATCAAGGAAAAAAACCACACGATCGGCTCAATCGATGCACTAAAAGCGTCTGACAAAAGCCAACACCCTTTGTGATGAAAACAGTCAAGCTCCTTGGAACAGAAGGAAACAACCTCAACATCACAAAAGCCCTCACCGCGAACACTGTACTGACCGTGAACGCTGTACTCGATGGCAAAAGAGTGAAAACTCTTCCTCTAAGATCAGGAGCAAAGCAAATGCCCACTTTTGCCTCTTCTTCTCAACATAGTCCTGGAAGTTGAGAGAGCAATTTGGCAAGAAAATGGAATTAAAAGGCAATAAAAGGGAGAGAGATCATGAAGCAACCAGTGTCTGCAGTGGCTAAGGAGACATCGCAACAGACAACGAGCACATTAAAGAGATCATTATTCCAAATCATGAACAAGCTTATGCCTGCAAATCTGAAACTTTGGATGTAATTTACACATTCCAAGAAAATACCACAAAATGACAGAAACAGACTAAACATCTGAGTTGTCCTACAAATTCTAGATGGGTGGAATCTGAAGGAAACAACAGCAGCAGCCACAAGAAACTACAGACTTTGATGCCGCCACCGACGAATTCTACAAAACACCTGTAAAGGGAATCTTACCTTCTTGCCAGGTAACATAAAAAAGGGGAAACGATTCCCATCCCATTTTATGAGGCATAAACCTTCAAGGGCATGGTAAGAAATGAAATGCACAGGCCTATCTTTCACATAAGCACAGAGGAAGAAACCTTGAATAAAGCATTAGCAATACAAATCAGTTAAATCTCCATAAAGGAAAACGTACCACAAACAACTCAAGACTATTCCAGAAATGAAGCGGTTCAGCCCTTGGAAAATCTCTCTCTCAGAAGTAATGTATGAAAGAGAAAAAATATGATATTCCCTACAGAGGCAGAAAGGGTATTTTATGGGTTTGATTTTTTTTTTAAATGACCACACATTTATGATAAAACCTCTTAGCCAACTACAAATAAAAAAGAACTCTTTTGATTCCATCAGACTATCCTTTAAAATACCCTTTAAAAGCCTACAAAAACAACGATACTCCTGGGTGACATGTTGACAGCTTTCCCTCCGAGAACGGGGAAAAAAAACACAGATACATCCACTGTCACCACTTACAGTGCCATGAAGGAAGAAAAAGTAATCAAGGCGGTCCTGCGAGAACAGCCTAAAAAGCACGTTAACCAAAGGACATGCTTGTGAACGTGCCCCACAATAATAACACTGACACTGCAGCACTGGAAACTACTGAAATGTCCATCAGAGATAAAAGACATGAACAAATCGTGGCATCGTCACACAAATCAAAATACTGTGCAGGAATGCAAAGAAACGAAATTCAGCTACACAGCACGACAAAAGTGAATAGTTCAAAGAAAAACCTAATGTTGCCAAGAGAAACCCAGATTATAAAATATGTACTGTAACGATTCTGCTTATATGTGGTGTGTTCACAAACAGGCAGAATTACCTTCAAGTGTTCAAAGCTCAAGAGTGGTTAGATTTGCCGAGGTGGAAGAAAAGAGTGACTGGCATGAGTGTGCTTTTTGGCTGCCGGCCACACAGCACACCATTTCTTAACCCAGATCGCAGGGGATCAGACGTTCCTGTGTAACCATTTACTGAGCGGTACCCTCATTTTTTGGGCAACTCCATCTTTACATTCTATTCCACTACAATGTACATAAAGATATTTTAATGAATAAAATCCCAGGAATGTCCATAAACAAAGGATTCTTCAGTGATTCGTATATTGTCTGACCACAATGCCACAATGGGATCTAGAAATTAATAACGAAAGATCATTACAGCCTCCCCACCCCCGCATATGTTTGTAATTTAAGAAACATCCTCCTAAGAAATCCATGGCTCTAAGAAAAACTAAGGTTGAAGTAAGAAAATATTTTGAGCGTACTAATGAGGCAAGCTCCGGCGGTCTTTGCCGCCCCTATTACTAAGTCTCCTCAATGGGGAAGTTTAGATCACACAGGAAGACTCTCCAGGGTCTCCGAAAAGGGGCAAGATGCCAGCAATCTGGACGTCAAACTCCAGCGGAGGTCAGGGACTGAAGATTTCTGTAGACACCAACTGAAACCCCCATGCTGGGTTAGGATGTATGCCTTCAAGTGAGCCTGAAGTTCTGACGCCCATGAATCTGCTGGTTCATGCTCTGCAGAGAGCATATTTGTCCTCCGTCTCCCAGAGTTGGGGGAGAGAGATTTGTCATGCTGGGAGGAGTTGAGAGGGATCCCATGGGTGTCTACGTGATTTTCAGGTACACTTTCTAGAGCCATCGTGAAATGTACAGCCCCCACCACTACCAACAACGTGCAGGGAGACCTGGCAATGCCAGTGTGGCAGACAGTTGGAAGGTCAGGTGAGAGGGGATAAGTCAGTTGCTTTCCGGCTGTCCCTACGGCTGGCGGATGCTCAAGCTCTCTTGACAACACAGTGAGACTCCGTCTCTAAAAAACACAACATAAAAAAGAAAAATGAACATGTAGTCCCAACTACTCGGGAGGCTGAGGCTGGAGAATCACTTGAGCTCAGGAAGTCGAGGCTGCAGGGAGCTACGGTCCCACCACTGCACTCCAGCCTGAGTGACAGACAGAGCGAGAACGCCCCACACCCTCAAAAAAAATCAAGCTCTCTTAATCAGCCAAGTCGGATGTCGCTCGCCTGTCTCCTTCACACCTTCTGCTACTTTCCTTCTTTTGTCTCCTCATCCAGTTTCTTTGTCTTTCGGGGGTAAAGGCTTAAGGAGAAAGGATGCAGCCAGGAAAGAGGGATGGGGAAGAGAGGGGAGAAGTGAAGGTGAGAAAGAGAAGGGGCGACTGAAGTACATGACCAAAGGTGCCCAGGGGAACCTGGGAGCAGGAACAAGGGTCCCTGGGCAAGTTGAAACAACCCCTCATGCTGTTTAGTCTGTTGGGTGCTCAGGTTGCAGGGAATGGGCATCCGGTTGGACTTCATGAGAACTCACACCTTGGGTTGTGGAGGGCAGGACACCGTGAGAGGAGTCCCACCCTGCTGCAAAAGATAGAAGAGGACAGTTGCCCCCAGCATAAAATGGAAGGCAGAGGACGGTAGATGGCAGAACAAGAACTAGCATCAATGACATTTTCCTCACTGAGCCCACCACAGAAATGAGCTCCCTTCCTGTGCGCTCTCACAGCTCCTTGCCCTTGAACCTCACTTCACTGATGGCTATTTGCAGAGGAGTGATTAAGTCGGTGATTCACTTTAGGACGCGGTGCCCTCTGAAGCTGAAGCTAAACACACGGGGCCCACGTTAGGCCCAGTACCATGGAAGGAACTAAGGATTAGTCACCGGGTAAGTACGTGGCGGGGGGAGGTGGGGGAGCGGGCACGCTGAGGAGAGAGAATGGCATAGAGAGAAGGAAAAAACAAAATGAGGGGAAAACCAGGGAGGACAACATGAGAAAGGAAAGCGGGAGAGGAAGGGCAGAGAGGGATATGGGAACTCGGAGGGAGGACAAAGGGACAGACAAGGCATGGAGGAGAGAGGGCAGAGAGGGGCGATGAGGGGTGACGACGGAGGCTGAAGTGAGGTAGGAAGAGAGAGGAAAGAGGGAAGGAGTGCAGAGGAAGTGAATGAGGGAGTAAAGAAAAAGAAACAAGGGGAGAGATCGTTTACCAAAGGGTGATAGATGAGGAAGGGGCAAGATGAAGGGGCAGTGAGGGAGAAAGGGTAAGGAGGAGAAAACTGCCAGCTTTGGGGACTCTACCCTGCCACGGGAAAGAGGGGATTCCCGTCCCACGTCAGCCTGGGGCTCCCTGTGGGACAGCTCTTGCCCTGCTGCCTGTGTCATTCAGGGCCTTCCCACCCAAACAGGGGGACCGGTCACATCAGCAGCCACCTCTGCCGAATCCAAGCTCTGCACCAGATCCTCCTTTCCCCTGCCAGGTACGGGTTTCAACTAGCAAGTTTAAGGGAATCACTCCCCTTCCTGGGATTCCTCCCTGACTACCCCAGTTGCAACCACTTTCATGGTTACAGAGACCTGGCCTCTCTCACAAGAGCCCTCTGGGCCAGCCAGTGTGACGCACTGTACATCATATCTGCTCAGGATGAAGCGTGTGTGTGTGTTTGTGTGTGTGTGTACTGATAATTGCAGGGATCAATATATCTGTGGGAGTTGTGAATTCTTTCCATGTGACTGCCTTGCTAGAATCCTCTCCCCCAGGGGCCTTTATTTCAAGGACCGACTCTGCTTTTCTCCCACAGCCCAATGAATGCATCAGACACTCAGCTTCAGTTCCCATGGCAACAGGGGCTAACGGTCTAGGGACTAAGGATGAGACAAAGAGAAACGCGGAGAAACGTACGTGTTCTGTCTTCCTCTGAGGTACACAAGCCCCTATTCAGGGATTGAAAAGAACATTCACTTTAGTTCAACCCTGCCCTCCCCTGAATGCTCGGTGGAGGAGGACAGAAATGAAGATGGGCCCGACATGAATCCAGAATGTCTCCATCCTCTAAATGCACCTGCGTGGTTTGGAGACAGGCCTCCTTGTCCCCGAGCCACCATGTTACCAGCAATGTGTTGTACCTGCAAACCATGCCTGTGGAACCTAGGATTCCTGCTACCCCAACTTGCTTTCCTCTTTCCCACCCTCTAGCCTCTACCATAGAAGGGGAGTTTTTTTGTTTGTTTCAGTCATCCCTATGTTCTGACAGAAAGCTGCAGCCAGCCCAATTTTGGAAATGCTGTCTCAGAAGGGTTCCCCGATCCTTCCTGCCAGAGTCACACAGGACACACCCGCTCTCTCTTCTCCTCAGTGGCCTGGGAGTCCTCAGTCCAGACCATGGGACCAGTTCCTAGGGCTCCCCCTTCCTGCCACACTCCTGTTCCGCCAGGGCCTTGGGGAGACTCAGAGGAGGGACGGTTTTGATAGTCCCCCACTTCTGCAAGCGGCCAAACTAATGAGAGGTCTCTTCCCTGCCCCTCTTCCTGAGCAGCCCACCGTGTCCCGTGTATTGGGTCCCCTTACCAGAGGCTGGACAAACAGGGTGCCAGGCGGGACATGAGACATCCTACACTGTCAATTTCTGAAAAATGACAACTCAAAAGCTGGGCATAGGCCCCCAACTTCCCTTCCCTTCCTTCCATTTATTCCAGTGACTCTCTGAAGTCCCTTCCTCCACCTGCATTCTCCTCTCCTGGGCCCCAGCTGCCCGCCGTTTTCCATGTCCTGTAACCCCTCAGTTCAAAATATCCAAGTAAGCTCGTCTTCACTGCAGTGGAGCAACCCGCACCCATAGCCATGCCCCACACCGGAAGGAACCACAGGAAGGTCTTCCCACCTTCCTGACCCCCAGGGACATTAGGGGATGTCCAGTCTCCTTTTGGTCAGGGGGTTTGTCTTGCATGCCCTGCTGAGTACCCACCTGCCGGTGACTCCCCTGTGGTTCACAGCCCTCTCACGGGAGCTCAAGTCCACTTGGCTGCTGGGCTCTGTCTGGATGGCCATGACCAGTTTCCCTTGGAGAAGTACCCATGGGGAACGGCAACGCCAGGGTGGCAACGCTTCGCTTCAACTGCTCGGCTCCTTAAATCCCCGACAGTACCACTCACAGGGCTGTAGAGGCTGTGCCAGTTACAGATTTCAATGAAGGGTCAGTGGTGGCTACGTGAAATTACAGTGGAACAAACTATTAGTGAGCGATGGCTAAGTATCCATGCTCTGGAATCCAAAAAGAATCGCCCATCCCCTGCTTCCCACGGAAAAGATAAGGTCTTCTGAGGACATTCCATTTCAGGGGAATCCCTGTTCGTGGCTTTCCCTCCTGTTTTGAGCACTGCCCTTTTATCTCCCTGGAAAGGAGAAAGTCCCCTCCATTAACCTGCTTCATTGCAGAGATTTCTTTATGTCTCAATAATGGGATCTGTCTATGTCTCCACCTCCCTGTGAACATATGAACACACAGAGACAATCACCCAAACACTAAGGAGCTATGCGTGTCCCGTGATTATCCCTCACCCAGCTCTGTACAGTGGCTCATACCTATAACCTCAGCTATGCAGGACACTGAGGCAGGAGGATTCTCTGAGGCCAGGAGTTAGACACGAGCCTGGTCAATGTAGCGAGACCTCATCTCCAAAAAAACAAAAACAGGAAAACTTGGCCATATGTGGTGGCACACCTCTGTGGTCTCAGCTACTCCGGAGGCTGATGCAGGAGGATCACTTGAGCCCAGGAGTTCGAGGCTGCAGTGAGTTATGACAGCACCACTGGACAGAGCTCTGGGAGACGACACTTTGAAGCCAGGAGCTCAGGACCAGTTTGGGCATCACAGCGAGATCCCACCTACAGAAATAAAAATTAAAATTTAAAAAAAATTTAAAAATTTCCTGACCAATACCTTTCTCAAAATTTGAATTTGTCAGTGTACATTAGCCTTTGTTACTCAGCCTGGATCCTATTGACTTCAAACTTCATTTCCTCATCCTCTGGACATCTCTGCCCTGCCAATCCCTCATTCTCAATTTGGCTATCCCTGGGGATGGAGGTTATCAGCACGGCTTTAACTGAGAGCCTGAATCACGGGGCTGGTCGCTCATATTTTTAACAAAGCCAGCCTCTCTGTTTGACCCCATCTTTACCCCTAACCCTTTCACAGTCTGAATTCCTGCAGATGTCCACCGTTTCTCTGCATCTTCAAATTGTCCTGCTCCAGTGCTTATTCCCATCAGCGTACAATTACGCTCCACCGTCCTCCATGGTAAACAAGCACCTTCCCTTGGCGACCCTTCGCCACCAGCTGTTCTCTCACATACCTGCTGCCCTTCACAGCAAAACTTTTCTGGTGAGTTGTTTGAACAGGTTGCCACCACTTCCTCATCTCCACCTCCAATGTCTTGCACGGCCTTCTGTCCTCCAAATATGCTTTTCTTCAGGCTCTTTAGTAACTTTCATACTGTCAAATCCAATTACCATCCTTCTGACTTGGCTTGCCCTCCTAGTAGCATTGAACATGCTGTCCACTGCCAGTCTCTCCAAATCGTGTGGATTTCAAGAGAAATCCCAAGAAAACATTTCCACGAAACCATTCTCTTCCGGTGAACTTCCTTCCAGGGTAGATCCTATTCTTTTAGTTATTTCCTGGCTCCTCTTCCTCTTTTTTGTTGCTATGCTCCAGATTGTGGCTTTGTTTCCTCCTTTTCTACATTTTCTCTCTAAGAAATTTCCTCTCACTTTATAGATGTAAATAACACCTACATCTGCCACCTCCTGTATCCATCAGTATGTTTGACTACAAACAACAGAAAAACACTCACGATTGCCCAACCGAAAAGAAACCTGATGCAAGAATATCAGGTTGCACATGGAGTCAATGAGAGGACTGCATATCCAGGATCGGAAAGCAGGCGGTATCCATGGGAGTCTGAGACAGAAACAATCATGAAGGTCACGCCTGAGAAATAGCTTTGTTTTCACATTGTTCTTGCAACCTTGCTGCTCTGCCAGAGAGGTCGCTTTGGAAACCTCCTACTGCATTGATATTTTTCAGCCTTCTGGAAGTCTTCGTATAGGTTTTGTTTTGTAATAACTCAAAAAGATCCCTCAAACTTGTATCCTAATGTATTTTTTTATTAGTACGTACGTTAACTCAGGAATAACTTATGAACATTTTGAATTTCTCCAGAGATTCTTTCCTCCTTCATTAAAAGAAAGAGCTTTATTGAGATATAATTCAGATACCACAAATTTCACCCGTTTAAAGTGTACAGTGCAGTGGTTGTTAGTATATTCAAAGGTGGAGCAACTCCCATCCTGTGGGTGGCCTTTTCACTGTGTTGATAGTTTCATTCGGTTCACCGTAGGATTTTGGTTAGACGTAATCTCACCTGTCTAAGTGGCTTTTTGTTGCTTGTGCTTTTTCTCATATTCAAGAAGTAATTTCCAAGACAAATGCCGTGGAACTTCTCACCTATGTTCTCTTCTAGGAGATTTATGGGAAAAGATAGTTGAAAAGGATATCTATGATAAGTGATTAATATCCAAGCTATACAAGGAACTCCTACAACTCAATACCAAAAAAGAAGACAACAAACTAAAGAATGGGCAAAAGACTCGAATAACATTTCTCCAAAGAGGATGTGGGAATGCCCAACAGTATATAAAAACGTGCTCAACATCACTAATCATCAGAGAAATGCAAATCAAAACCACAATGAGGTATCAGCTCACACTTTGAAATATTATCAAAGAGAGCAAAAGATAACAAGTGTTGGAGAAGATGTAGAAAAATTCCAACCCGGGCACACTGGAGTAGGCATGTAAAACCGTGCAGCCGCTACGGAATACGCCAGAGTGGTTCCTCGAAAAATTCCAAATAGAACTAGTATGTGATCTGGAAATTCCACTGTTGGATATATATCCAAAAGAATTGAAATCTGGGCCTTGAAGCCATGTATGGACTCCCACCTTTATTGAAGCATTACATCCAACAGTCAAGATTAAAACACAATATGGAAACAACCTAAATGTTTATCAACAGGTGAATGGATACGTAAAATGTGGTATATACATAAAATGGCACATTATTCAGCCTCCATGAAGAAGGAATTCCTGCCAACACACACAAATAATGCGGGTTCTAATTATTTCAGCTATCTAAAACAATCAAACTCATAAAAACAGGAGTGCAATGTCGGCTGCTTGAACTGGGAGGGAGGGGGAAACAGGGAGTTGCTGTTAGTGGGTATAAAGTTTCCCTTGCACAAGAGGAATACATTACTGAGACCTGCTATGCAACCCTGCGCCTATGGTTAACAATATGGTATTTTGTACTGAAAATGTCATTGAGGGTAGATCTCATGTTACGTGTTCTTACCACAATAAAATGAAATAAAATAAACCAAAAAAGTTGCGCAACTATCAAAACCTTGTAATGTACGAATTTTTTTATTAAAAAAAAAAGTCGTATGTATTTAAGTGACCTAATCTCCCTTCTTCTTCAAACCACTGACACCCACTGACCTATCTTCTGGCTCTCTGATTTTGCATGTATTGAACGTTTCCTGTAAATCGGATTCTACAATACATGACCTTTTTGACTGGCTTCTTTCCGTAAGCACTACGTTTTCCAGATTAATCAGTGTTGTGGTGCGTACCAATGCGTCACTCAATTAACTGCCATATAATAATACCACATATTGGTTACTCTTGCAACTGCTGATGGACATTTAGATTCGTTCACTTTTTGGCTATTATGGATAAGGCTGTTATGGGCACTCTTGTACCGGATTTTACCTGACTTATCTTTTCAATTCTCTTGGGTGAATTCCTAGAGTAGACTTGCTGGGTCATAAAGGAACTCTAACTTTTGGAGGAACTGCT